TTACTACCTACATTTATACTATGTTACTCGGACTCTTCGGTTTACCTCAAGTACCAGTGTCGGACCCTCGACACTTTGACATGGGTATGGCACTTAGACACTTCATTTTAGTTCAAAATCATAGAATTTTTTCACAAAATAGCCGAGTCGGATACTTGGACACATACCCGTGTCGGACATGGGTACCCGAGTCCGAGTAACATAGCATTTATACTCAAGCTTCTAAGAGAAAATTAGGCTTCATGTAACTACTTAGGAAAAATATCAAAATCAAAATAAGACATTGTTAGTACTTGTTGCTTGCTGTCCCCATTTTTATCTTAATGAAATTTGTAACTTTGCTCTTTGTTGTTGTCGACTTCTTCTTGTTCTTCAGTTACCACTGCTTGACCTTTGACCTTGGACCTACGGGTATAGACCTTGATGGGTCGGCCCGAACGTGGATGCATTGGAGAACATTTGGTAGCCGCCATAATTGTTTGGATCAATTGGAGATCATGTGGTGGTCGTCAATTAGAGAAAGTGTGCAATTTTCCTAGTGGGCTACCTCCTTCACTTGGGCATGAACATTCCATTACTTTGAAGGAGGTAGTAATCCGGTTAGTGTAAGGTCGTATCGTTACCCGCAAATTCAAAAAGATGAGATCGAAAAGCTCATACGAGAAATGCTACAAGCCGGTATCATCAAACCCTCCACTAGTCCGCTTAGTCCAGTTTTGTTAGTGAAGAAAAAAGATGAGTTGTGGCGTTTTTGTGTGAATTATCGTGCTCTAAGTATAGGGACGGTTCCGAACAAATATCCCATACCGGTCATAAATAAAATGCTTGATAAGTTGCATGGGGCGGCAATTTTCTCGAAGTTGGACTTGAAGTCCAGATACCATCAAATTCTAGTCAAGACCGATGACACTCCCAAGACGGCCTTTTGTACACATGAGGGTTATTACGAATTCCTCGTAACTAATGCACCGGCCACTTTTCAATCACTCATGAACGACATTTTTAGGCCTTTGTTGCGAAAATTTGTGTTGGTCATCTCGACATACTAGTTTATAGTAAGGATGAAGCCCATCGAGATCATGTGGCGTTAGTCTTATCGAAGTGGCAGAGCATGGTTTATATGCAAGTTATAAAAAGTGTGAATATGGGAGACAACAAGTGGCTTATCTAGGCCATGTGATCTCACAAAATGGAGTGGCAATGGATGATGACAAGATTCAAGCCATCATGAATTGGGCCAGCCAAAGGAATTTGAGGGAGCTTAGGGGCTTCTTAGGCTTAATGGGCTGATAATTCACAGCCCATTATGCCCAAGTGGCCGCCCCACTCAACTCCCAACTCAAAAAAGATGCATTTGGGTGGACAAGTGCAGCTGAATTGGCGTTCCAAAAGCTCAAGGTCACCATGACTACCGCCTTGGTATTGGCGATGTTGGATTTTTGTAAGGAATTCGTGGTGGAAACAAGATGCTTCCGGTTATGGTCTTGGCGCTATGTTAATGCAAGAGAATTGTCCTATTGCTTTCTATAGTAAGCTAGGAGTAAGGGCTCAAGCTAAATCCATCTACGAGAAAGAGCTCATGGCGATTTGTTTGGCGATTGTGAAGTGGCGACACTACTTGTTGGGTAGACACTTTATAGTGCGAACTAATTAACAAACTCTACGCTATATTACCCAACAAAGAGAGGTAGGAAACGAATATCAATAATGGATGCGAAAGCTTGTGGGCTTTGACTTTGAGGTTTGATATAGGCCGGGGGCCTCCAATCGGGCGGCCGATGCACTGTCACGGAAAGGGTGTGAATTTGGAGCCTTGGTGTACACGCAAGGAATTAACTTGAGGAGTTGCACAAGGAACTTAAGGATGATAAGTGGATCACTGAGCTTAAGGAAAGGATTGTGCCTAATAAGGATGGGCCCAATGGATTTGCAGTAGAAAATGGCAAGGTTTTGTACAAGGGAAGGCTGGTTATTCTAAAAACTGCCAGTATTATTTCCAAACCCCTCCACGAATATCACGATTCACCCACCGGTGGTCATGAAGGCAAGGTAAAAAGAATCGCGGAAGAGTGGTATTGTTCGGTCATGAGGAAGGCCGTGGGAGAGTATGTGCGAACTTGCGAGGTCTTTCAGCGGAACAAGGCCTCCCAAAAACATTTGGTCGGTATGTTGCAACCTTTACCGTGTCGGTGTTGATGTGGGAGGACATCTCAATGGATTTCATCGAAGGGCTTCCATTGCTGAAAGGGGTAGACGTCATCATGGTTGTGGATAGATTTTTAAAATATGGGCACTTTGTGGGGTTGTGACATCCATTCTCGGCGTTTAAGGTGGCCGATTGTTTTATAAGGGAGATTGTGAAATTACACGGGTTTCCTTCAACCATTGTGTTTGATTGTGCTCGAATGTTTATGTGTAATTTTTGGAGTGAATTGTTCCGGTGATAAGGGAGTCAATTGAAGCGAAGTACGACCTACTATTCGCAAACGGACGGGCAATCGAAGATTGTGAACAAGGGCTTAGAGGTGTACTTGCGGTGTTTCGCGTTGGTACATCCAAGAGGGTGGGCGGAGTATGCCTATAATACATCGCCTCACTCCACAACCAAAACAACCCCATTCAAGGTGGTTTAAGGACGAGAGCCACCTAGGTTGTTAATGGTGGGCCTAGTCAGACTCTGGTGGGTTCGTTAGAAGAATACCTCTGAGAAAGAGATTGCATGCTTGAGGAGTTGAGTATGACACTGCTTCGAGCTCAGCAATTGATGACAGAACAAGCCAATAAGCATTGACGGGATGAGCAATTCACGGAGGGGGAGGTGGTGTTCCTCAAACTTCAGCTGTATCGGCAAAGGTGTAGTGGATTGAATTTTCTAGCTTAATATTTCTGATTTAATAATCCAATAATAAAGATGAAAGCTTTAGGATTGATGGATAATGGTGGAAGAGTTACAAAAGATAAGTTATTAGCTTAAGGCTATTACTCTCAAATAGTGAGTTTAGCTCACAACTCTCCAAAATGGCTCTAGGCCATGACTCTAAGGTTTCCCTCGTTCCCTCAATACAAATTTCTTCCTACCTTCTTCTTTCTACCCTCTCTTTATATATACTAAACACTAAAGCTAAGGACTCTAACCTAATATTACTAGAATACCCATATTATCCTTCCTTAGGTTAGTCTATTAGTTAAGCCCACTTATATATCCATACTATCCTTCCTTAGGTTAGTCTATTACGTAAGCCCACTTATATAAAGTGCAGGCATGTGGTGGCTTGTTATTATGAGTCCATCCTGTTAGGCATGTTGTGTGTCATGTGCTTGATTAGCCAAGCCAGCATGGCACGTCCAGTGAGAGGTGATCCATCATATCCTGACCCAGTGACCCTGCACAATGGTTCGGCAAAATCCACTGCCTGTCTCACTGTCTGTAATATCAGTTTATATACTGGTATATGTTTCCTAGTTTTCAAAGGAAACAGAACATGGATTTTTGCAATAAATGCAATGTAATATTTTATTATAAAAAAAAATGAAAAATTTGCCAATTACTACCGCGTATTAATGCCTCTTTGGTAATTATTACCGCGAATTATAAAACTTGCAAATTACTACTGCAAAAAAATTTAAAAATTTGCTATTACTACCTCCTAACCTAAGGTTACCCAATTTACCCAACCTACATTTCTCTCTCACATAGCTTCACTTTGACCCTTTGACATTCAACCTCCATTAAAGAACACTATGCACTTTGACCCTTCTAACCTTCTTCCTCAATTCTCTTTGGTCCAAGACTTCATAAATAAAATCTTCACACTTGTATTCCATCCTAATGAACTTGTCAAATCGTATATAATGCTTAATTGATAGCTTAATTCAAAGAAAAATACAAAAGCCCTATGTTAATCAACAAAAATCATAATCCATAAACCCTAGAATTGCAAAAACCTTAAAATTTGAAAACCCTAGAATTCGAAAACGAATTTGTTTGAGGCGAATTACACATTTTTGTGGAGCAATTGGAGGATAGATAGAATAGTGTCAATTTTGGAGCAGGAAGCTTGAAGGGACTTTAGCGATGGTGAAGGAGGAAGATCAATGATAGAGAAAAAAATTAAAGGAAAGAGGGGGGTTTTAGTTAGATTAGTTTGCTAGGGTAGCCATGGGTTGGGGGATTTTTATTTTTATTTTTTTAGGGTTGTTTAAATGCTTAATTAAGAGTTAAACATGGGTTAAGGGAATAAATGACATCATAAATGGTCTAAAGTGTAGTCTGGTAGTAAAATAAAATTTTAAAAAATTTTAGCGATAGTAATTCACAAAGTTTTTAATTCGCGGTAGTAATTTTTAAAATGTCATAAATACGCGGTAGTAATTGACAAATTTTCAAAAAAAAATTAAGTGCATTGCTTCATTTAGTTCCTCTCTAATAAATGTGTATTGAAATCCATGTTTTACCAGGAACAAGGACTCACAAAGTTAGAGCTACTGCTCTGTAAACCTTATTTTATTTGATTCAGACATGTTTAGATGACGCAACTGAATTCGAAGAAATTGCAGCCGCCTCTGAATGTTTCATCTAATTCACGTTTGTGATTCTTGTTTTGTTTTTGTTTTTGTTTTGTTTTGTTTTTTTTTTTTTTTCCCTTTCCTTTTGTTTGTGGCTTTTGAGTTAGCTGTCTGTGATTGTAGAAGAAACTCCCATGCTTTACCATCATGACTTCGTGATAAGATTGATAACAGTTTCATAGCATACTTGTTTGTTATCTTAACACTAGTATTTGATTAATATGCTTCTTTGGATAATTCACATGTTGCATTTTATAGGATTATGTTGATAATAATATGTTTTATGGGATCAGTTATTTTTAATCCTAATCTTTTTTATCTATCTAGATTGCGTTGTCCTTGCCTTATACTAATTATAATTTTGATCATAGGCTTTGTGAGTATAGTTTAAGTTTCAATATAGAATTAACTCATTGTGTAACAATTTCATCCAGGTGCCTACACTGTCTTCTTCTGGACAAACATCCTGATTTCTTGCAATTTGGAGTACTGTCCTGTTGGTGTGAGCCTCCGAGGTCTGGCGATAAGTTTTTCTTTCTTAATATAAATAAATGTGCTCTATTTATTGTGAAGAGTAGACTTTTTGAGTAATTAACTTGCAATTCTAGGATGTACAGTATGGAACAAACAGTTGTGGGCTAACTTGGACAGCCTACTTCATCCTCTTGTAAGCAAAATTGGTGTACATACCCCCTCTATTCTTCACCCAGGAGGAACAAATTAAATCCAACTCTTGACCAAGAATTTAATCAATGTTACAACAACCTTCATCTTTTGTCAAGGGCTTTCGAACAATATCCAAAAGATGTCGGATGTTGGTGGAGATTCTTTGATTCTAGGGAGATATTAGAATTTACGGAACCGTCGCTTGATGAGCTAGAGTTAGAAAGCAAGTTGCTTTTTAAATCTGGATGTTCTTCGTTGAACATGTTTATGTCTAATACATTAAATTAAGTTGCCTATTAATTTCTAGTTATGACATATATGGATTTTTTTTTTTTTTTTTGCAAGTTTTTATTTATCTAATTGGTAATTTTTTTTTTTTTTTTTTTTTTTTTTTTTTTTTTTTTTGTGGTGATAATGTTTTTTAATTCTTTTATTTATTTTTTGTCAATGATACATAATTTCTACCATTACACTATGGAAGATTTGAACTCGGGACCCTAGTCCATAGTTTGATGATAAGTACTCCGTAGTTCCTTATCTTGTATAACTGTGAGGAAAGTTCCTATCTAACCATAGTGTTGTTTTTAGACTGTTGGGAGTTAGCTTCCTTTTTCGCCAAAAAAAAAAACACACACACACAAAAAATACATTTAGATTTTTAGACTGTTTATAACTCATATGTATGGAGATTATACTTTGTTTTTGCTAAACATATGCACTTCTGAATTGAATGGTAACTTCTTAGAACTGAACGATGAGATTGGTCTCAATCCAAGTGTGTTATTATTTATTTATTGGATTTTATTGACGAGGCATCATGACCTCAATGTTTTGATATTATCCCACCTCAACATTGTGTTAGGTAACGATAATGAAAGCATTTAGTTTGTTGGTTGTTCGAAGCTTTCACCTTGATTTCTGTCCATTGTTGTCACATTCAGTTATTTGCTTCAACTGTTTCGTAATTATTCGCTGCAATAAAACTTAACCGGTAGTACAATTATATCTTAATGGCTAAGGAAAAAATAGATATGTCTTTGAATTATTTGTAATATAGGGAATAGATCCAACTGCGAAGTATCTAAATGCAAGGATAATACAAATTACAAATGGGGATGATGAAGGATCTGAAAATCTATGAGAAACACGGCATACGATGAAGGATCTGAAAATCTATGAGAAACACGGCATACGCAAAGTATGAATGGTTGTAATTGGAATTTGTCATTGGACCCCTCTTGAGGCCTTCACATTCATGCTTGACCTCGAGAGTTAAGACCACATCGTTGCTTTTTTTTTTTTTTGGAAATCCCGACACTACATCTTTAACCACTGAAGCAATGCCATAATGTTTTGCTGAAATTAATTTTATACAAATTGTGATAGGCCCCTGGCGGCCTGGTCTAGTGGATCTCAAGGTTGTACCGCAACTAAACATCAACCCTTTAGCAGGCTATCAGTTTAGCATATAAATTTGGTAAATGCGAAATGACTAATAGATACTTAAAAACGACTATATCATCTAGCTTGTTCACGCCAAACAGGTGCAGATACCCCCCTCTTCAACACCCACACCGACACGGCCGCATCCATATAAAATTTATACATTCACTACCTATGTTGGATATGTATCCATAGTCATAGCTAGGGGTGTGCATAATTGGACCTGGACCGTAAAACCGACCGGGACCGGACCGGACCGGATGATTCCAGGAGATCCTGAGATCGAGATAGCTCAAGTGGGTTTATATGAGCGAGAGGGATAGCTCAAGTGGTTAGAGCTTTCTTCTTGATTTTAGGAGATCCTGAGATCGATTTTCACCCCCGCCCTTTGTGACTCTCTAAACACATTAAACCAAAAAAAAAAAAAAAAAATCTAAGTGGGTTTATATTTAAGAAAAATGATATACCTAGCTTTTAGGGGTTACATCTGTATAACATTTATGATATGTATCCATAGCCATAGCCGTCTAAGAGCAACTCCAATGGTTGTAGCTAGGGACTTGCTTGCAATTTTAAATAGTCCCTAGCTACTAGCTTGATCATTGGAGCAAAAAAATGTAATTAGTTTAAAGCTAATTTGCTTGAAAAAAACTTGCCAAATAGAAAATATTAAAAGCCAATTAGTAATTAAGATAAAAATAATAAATTAATAATTTAAGTAGTAAGCTAATAGCTAGCCATTGGGGGATCAAACTAGCTACAAACATAATTAGCTTGAAAGCTTATGTGGCATGACAAGCTAATTTGACAATTAGCTTGCCATTGAAGTTGCTCTAAAGAGTTTATATATAAGGAAAATAATATACGTAGCTTTTAGGGGTTACATTTATTACATCGATTTACACGTGATTTAGTCATGTTCTAAAATATACCAAGATATTAAATGTTTATTTTTTACCATAAGGCTAAATATAACTATCTTATAATCCATGTCTACTTCACCACTCAAGTGGATATCTATTACCCATCTATTACTCATGTATATTCGTCTATTATCTGCTTACACCCACTCGAAATTACTTTTTAAAAATACATAAAAATTGAGCAGAGATAAAGGTCGTCCTCATTTTACATACTAATGCCCATATTTTGTCTTAAACAGACCATTATGCCCTGCTCTTAATTCATGTCTAATCCATTGAACCACTTGCTTTTAATTTTTGTCTAATCCATTGAACCACTTGTTCTTAATCATCCACACAACGTGGCTTATAGCTTTGAATAAAGCATCTTCCATGCTTTCTCCACCATTGAAGCACCACCGTCTCCCCCACCAACCACTAACCCCATCCCCAGCACCATCTCCTCACCAACCACCGCCACAAACACCACCAGCGACCAAGTCCAGTACTACCATTAGTGGCTTTAAAAATATTGAAAGAAATGCCTATATATATCGTTACACGTAGGTGGAAACGTCTTAATTTTTCGTTCCCACCTATGGGTTTAGAAATTTTTAGGATTTTGGACGAGATCAGGGCCTGTTCTCTTCAGCTTATTTTCAGTTCACTTCAGTTCCTTATTTTCTTCTCTCATAAAATATTCAATTAAGCTCAGGTCAATAAATGAAAACAGACCCTTAGTAGGCTTTTCCAACCAAACGCCTAAAAATTACAAAACCCATAAAAATCAAGGCATTTTCACCTGTGGGTTGTGAAATCTATATGTGTTTTCCGACCACCTTCTTTCTCTATGCTTGTATGTACTGTCACTGATTTATTAACTATTGTTTTGGGTGTTTTTGTCCCTCGGGAGAGTTACAGCTAAGAGACTGGTTGCACGCGATTTGTACCTGCAAAACAACGGAGACTCTGGGTGGATGGAGCTCCGCCTCCGAAGATCAAGTTAGTACTTGAATATAAACGGGAGAAAGCGCAGAAAAAGAGATGAGATCTTCTCGAATTCCGAGATCAGGTGATTCTCTGATGTAAGAGAATGTAGGGTATGCTGTAATAATTGTAGATGTCCCAAAAATGGGGAAATATCTCCCTATTTATAGGGTCATTGGTAAATGTGCCCTTGATTAGGTCATTCTGACCTAATTATTCTAGGTTGCGCCGAATTACGGCTTTCTCGGGATTTGGGCCATTAAAGACCGTCGTTTTATCCCAAATTTTAGGAAAGACACGTGTCTAATAGAAATTAGTCCAATTCGGACCAACCAGGGCTTGACACATGTCAAGGTATGATTGGACCACGTGGCATGGGTAAAATTACCCAAAACATTTGCCCCTCACAGATGAGACGTGGCGCGCAATGTGGCATCTGTGACACATGTCACTCAACGATAGGTGGTAAATAAAAGTTTTTTTTAATTCTTTTTTACTGTGAATATTTAACTTTTCACATTCCAGGAAATTACGGAATTGCCCTCAATTTTACCCCTCTATAAATACTAACTTTATCCCCCTAGTTTTGGAAGTTTCCAACACATTCTAGAGAGATAAAGTCAAAAGTTAGAAAGAGAGAGAAAGTCTTCTTTCCGCCTGTGAGTGTGAACCCAAATTCTGCGTTTTCCCGCCTACATGAGCCGGTTTCCAACTGTCTGTACCCCAAGCAAGCAAGGTCAACTTCAGCAGCAAACCTCAGTCGGTCATCACCGTTTTCCCCCCTTTCAGAGACAAACGTAAGGAACTGCCTCTACGCCTTTCAACTCATTTCATTTGTTTCAATTCATTCAATAAATGGACTCGTCACCAACACACACGACACGACCTAGGTCAGTAGTCAGCCGGTCACCTGGGACGACTGAGTCTAGGACTAGGAGTGCCGGCTTTGGGTGCATGGAGCAATTTTGTGCTCCTCAACAAACTATTTATGTGTCTGTGCAAGACACAATGGCTAGAACCAAATAGACAGCCACCAGACGGCGTAGGAGAAACGGTACTTTGGAAGTGTCGTCCAATGAGGTAACCCCGGTTGAGGGTTCTGAGGGCAATGAGGGCTCAGGGGAATATTCCTCGTCTGGGATCCCTAAAACCCCCAGCGACACAATCTTATATGCGGGTAGAGACAGCGAGGGGGCCGTCTCCCAAATGGAAATTGATGAAGCTAACCCTGTAGATAGAGACAGGGAAGAGTCTACCTCGGGGTCAGCCGATGATGAGGGAGACGACGAGGACTCTGCCTCAGGCTCTGGCTCTGAGGGTGATAATGACACCCCCCTCCCCCTCGCTTGAGGATAGTGAGGTTGAGGATAGAAAGAAATGGGAAAAGAAAGATGATCCCTTTAAAATTCACGTCTCCGATAAAGACAGGCGGATAATGTTAAACGGTATTGAGGGCTTTGTAAAGAAACGACCCTTGAGAAAGGGTTATATCATCCGGGTGCCTCCTGAGCTGGGCACAATCTCCTAAAAGGATGACCAGGAGAACGCCGATGCTTATTTTGGATGCTACGAGGCGGCATTCCTGACATGCCTCCGTTTCCCGCTTCACTATGAGGTGAGGGCTATACTTAGGGCTTATGGCCTAGGAGTCTGGAATCTCTTCCCAAACTCATGGGCCAACATTCTTGGGTATGTTTCCTCCTATGAGATACAAAATTTGAACCCAAGCTGGCAGGCTTTTACTCACATGCATTATTTAAGTTGCAACCCAGGCGGCTGGAGGGCGTGGTACACTCTAACCACCCTTCCTTAATATTAGATGACTTTAGACAAGGTGTCCAAATATGACGGTTGGAAGACTCGTTTTTACTTGCTATCTGCCCCAACCCACCAAGAAAACCGGGAGCTGCGCCGGTATAATAAAAAACCCGACCTTCTAGGTCGCAAATGTGCCCTCCCCAAGATACCGGGGGATGACTATGAGGCCATCATGGACACCAAGT